CCTGGGTAATTCCTCCTGCCCTTCATCATGTTTTCTGGAAACAATACATGCTAGTCAACAATAAGAAGCAAAACACACTCAACAAAGTCAGAAATACAGTGGAAGAAAACCTTACCAAAGAAAGCATTAGAATTGACAGAGAATAAACAAAAGGAAGATTTGAATCATGTGTGACTGACACATCACTGAGATAAGAATAGACATTTCATCCACAGAACACTCATAAATTGGCAAAAAAAAAAGCCAGGGAAAGAATCTGAGTCAGGGTCTGGTGCTAAATACCTTTACTCTCAGTACAAAAATGGAGGTAGAGGCAGGTAGATTTCTATGAAGTTGAAGTCAGCTTGGACTTCCCAGCAAGTTCCATGACATATAGTTCTACATAGAGAGAACCAGTCTCTAAAAAAGGAAAAGAGAGGAAACTATTCTGTTTATTGCTAAAACAAAGGTAATAAAAAGGGAAACAAACAAAATACCACAGATGATTAGCTGTAAGTGCAACGTCACATGCAAAGAGCAGGTCTCCACATCAGTAGGCACAGTTGAGAAATACTCCCAAAGGACCAGGACTGTAATGACCAGGCCTTGGATGCAAAGAGAAGTGTGGAGGGGTAGGAAGACAGGCTTTCTCAAAAACAAAGTAAATGAGGAAGAAAAGGGGGAAGGAAAGAAAGAAAGAAGGAAGAAAGGGGAAATTGCTCATCAGGTAAAGTGCTTGCTGTAGGCAAGTGCTGATTTCCATTGCAAGGACACCTATGATGGACACAGAGACACTACACAGAATGGTTGTTCTCTGACCTCTGCACTTGTGCTGTTGTTTTATGCTTATCTAAACCACAGGAAGGAACTTCAGGATATGCTCTCTTAGATAATTATTCTTTAGTTTGTATTGTGCATGTCTCCTTGTCATTATAAACAATACCACTACCAACACTTGTGCTCAAGGTGTGGAAACACATTTCTTTCTCATGGGTTCCCATCTAGGAGCTGTGGAATCTATGGTAAATATCTGCTTCATGCATTGAGGAATTTCTAGATTGTTTTCAAAGCAGCTACCTTATTTTACATCTCAGCAGCTGTGCATAAGGCTTCTGGTTCCATGGAATTCTTCTATGTAATATCTGCGTGTTGTAACTGTACCTGTCCAAAACTGACGAGGAGGTGGTGTCTCCTGAATTTGATTGTCATCCCAATAAGTAAGTACATTTGACTCTTTTCATGTGCTTATTGATGACTTTTGTCTTTGAGGAAATTGTACTGCAAACATGGCTTGAAAGTTGTGTTATACACCTGTTTTAATATTTGATTTATTTGTTTTGGTTTTTAAGATTTATTTATTTATTATGTAAAGAGTGTGCATGCATGTGTGGCTACAGGCCAGAAGAGGGCACCAGGTTGAACTATCGATGTTGTGAGCCACTTTGTGGTAGCTGGGAATTGAACTCAGGACTTACTGGAAGTGCAGTCAGTGCTCCCAACTGCTGAGCCATCTCTCAAGCCTCTTTGTTACCCATCTTTCTGCAGGTTCTTTGAATGTTCAAAGTACAACGTTCTTGTCAGATAGATTCTTTGCAACCCCCTTCTTCTATCCTGCCAGTTTTATTTAAATTGTCTTTTTCCTGTTAAGTGTGCCTTTAAATGTCCCTTGGCCCCATTTTCTTTCTAGTAGTAAAGACTAAAACTGAACGCTCATCATATTAGGCAGGAATTCTACTAGTGATAAACATCCTAGCCCTTTCAGACTTTTGCGTTTGATGTGGGTTCTAGCTGACATGCACAAGATAAGCTTAAATTTACTCAGTAGATCAGGGAGGCTTTAACTTAGAATCCTCCTGACTCTCAATGCAGCTGATATTCAATTGAGCTATGAGGCCTAAGTTAGAGCATTCTGTTCTGTTATTGTTTATGGAAGTTTGTCCATTTCTTTTAAGCTGTCTAAATATTTTTGGCATACAACTTAAATAACTTAATTGAAAAGTAACATAGTGTTTTAAACTTATATAATGTGATATTATGAAACACATACAATGTATAAATACAAATTGTAAGATCTTATATTAAGGTAATTAACAATTATCTTTCTTCACATATTTGTGGTAATAACTCTTCATTGTCATTTCTTACATTTTTCTTTTTTAAGCACTTTATTCAATGTGTATGGGTGTTTTCACCTACAAATACTTCTGAGCACTGTGTGCATGCCTGGTACCTTGGAATCTGGAAGATAGCATTGGATGCACTGAGACCAGAATTACAACCAGAGGTGAGCCTCCATGTGAATGCTGGGAATTGAATCTGGGTCTCCTGCTATAGTAACCTGTGCTATGAACCATGGAACCATCTCTCTAGCCCTACATTTTTCTTAATAAATTAAATCTAGTCACATTGCAGTTTTCAAATATATTCCTTTTATCAACCATATGTCTCCTTCCAGATAACATTTCCAAGCTTCTATATGCCACCATTATATACCCATCCTCTATGGGAATACCATATAAACAATATACAGGTAAACAAATGTAAGTTTTGACTCTTTCTGTCTTTCATATAGGACTTTTTGTTACCTGCTGCATTCTAACACATTGCAGCAAATTGTAGGCTTTCATCTTTTATAGGTCTAATGCCGTTACAATATTCCTTATGATCCTTATGGTTTTGGAAATTTGGAAGTGGTAGCTCTCATTTCTTTTGTTGTTCTTGTAACTTGAGTCTTTTTTTCCCTGAAGATTGGCAGTGTGGTTACTCTTTTCAAAACAAGTATATTGTGGCTTCCTTGCTATTCTCCATTATTTTTCTATTTTGTATCATTAGTTGCTGCTGTTATAGTTTTCCTAGCTTTTGTAGAAGAGAAGGTAGGTCCATCTAGGCATAAGTCCTCATAGTCAGTTCCTCTACAATTTTGAATATCAAACAAGTCAGAAAACCTCACAAATCCCATGGCTATACATTTGAGATCTGCTCCCCTCTTCTTGCTGCCATTGCCATGATGTGAGTTCCCGGGTCCTTCTTGTGTGTTCTGGGAAGACATTCAGGACACTTATGCCTGCTGGTATCCATCCTGCACCTCTCCCTGTTCACACCTTTACCTGTGCTTTAGCCATGTCTTCCTGAGTTCTGATGGGTTGGAGAACTTGAAGAATATAAACCCATGTCTTAAGGCCTCCTGCTCCTACTCTCCAGCTGTCAAAACTCCTTCCACTTAGATCCAAAGAGAAAGAAATGTCATTTCTCATGGGTGCTGTCCCTGTGAGAGCACTATTGCTATGACATTTCATTCTGAGATCCAGGGACAACTTCCTAGATGGTCAATTAAACTGGGCTAATGGACACTGTTTTTAGTAGTCTTCATAAACATACAGATGTCCTGTTGTGAACCAAGCTCTTAACTGACTGCCCTTGATTTTCCTTATACAATTAGGGAGGACTATGTGACTCATATCCTAAGATTCCCTTATTCTCCCATAAGCAAATACTAGTTGTTTATACAAGTAATAGAACAGCCTTCAGAGCCCTTAAGCATAAGGCAGAGACAATTCTGCTGGCTTCTCTCTACTTTCATGATTCTCAGCAGGTGTCCACGTGTCCACTGATATTTATTTATTTTTGTCTGTTTCCTTTTTTTGGTTAAAGTAAGCCCTCGGCTAAACAAGTTTACTAAGTCTGTCACATAACCGCCCCACATACCTACACACCCTTTGTCTAGTCTGAACAATGTATCTCTCTCTTTATAGAATTGGTTCCACCATGTCAGTTTGTACATTTGTGTCAGATTCAATAGAAATCAAGCTGGCAAAAATAGAAGCACAATAAAAGTCATATATAAAAAAGTTTGGCAAAATACTGGAGAGGCAGAAAGAAGAAATACATACAGACATACAAATATACATACATACATACAGACAGACATACAAATATACATACAGACAGACAGACAGACAAACAAATATACATACATACATACACACACATACATACATCTTCAATGTTTGAACATGGTTAAAACTGTAATTGATGATGTGTTTTAATTATGTTGTCTACTATGATCTGGAGCACAGAGGGTATACAGAGCTCACAGAGCATCTCCACTCAGTCTAGCTGTGCCTCCTCAATGACCATGGAGTCAGTGGCTGGCATATTTGTGCAAAACACAAAGGGTATGCATACCTACACACCTTTTAATAGTTGACTAATTTTCTCTCAATTTTTGTCTGCTTTCTTTCTTTTAGATTTCTTTCTTCCTTTTTCTTTATTTTGTGTGTAGATATGAAACATTTCAAATATATGAAAAACTTGAGATGTATCTACAATAATAGTTGTGTTAGTTTTTGGTAGGTGAGACAAAGATACCAATGAGAAAATTGAAGAAGCTAATAGGGCAGAGATTCTGAGGGTCCACTCAATGTTCATGACAATTCAGAAGCACAACTCCCACCATGAAGAACACAAGAGATCATTAATTCTAGATCCAAACATGAATGATCTATGACCTAGGTATGAATTCCCCCAAATTCTGTTTTCCAACAAGGCAACAGTTTCATGAAGTTTCACAGAAACATAAAGAAGGATATACATTAAAATACTTTGGTGAAAGCCCTCTGAGTACCAGTTGGGAGGCTTGGAGAGGCTCTGGGACCTCCTACAGTGAAACCAGTGTTTATCCCTTGTGTACAAAAGGAATTTAGTAGACTATTACCTAATGAGGGATATTCTCAACTCAGATAAATGGAGGAGGTTCTAAGTGCTCCCCACAATGATATGACAGACTTTGAAAACTCCCGCATGTAAGACTTCACCCTCCATGGGTTATGGATGGGGGTTGGATGAGGAGGCCATTGGGGGGCATGGGAGGTTGGGAGGTAGAAGGAATTGGGATTGATTTGAAAAATGATTGTTACTAAACTAAATAAAAATCAATTAAAATAAAATAAAATACTTTGATGAAACTCGGGGTATATGGGTTAGAGCAGAGTGTAGAGAGCCTACAGGATGCTCGTGGTGTACACACCTTTAGTCCCAGCACTTGGGAGACAGAGGCAGGTGGATATCTGTGAGTTCAAGACTAGCCTGGTTTACAGAGTGAGTTCCAGGAAAACCTGCAAAGCAACACAGAGAAACCCTGTCTCAAAGACCAAAATAAAAAATTTTTACAGGCCTTCTATTTGGTAGAAACAAATCTTTGTCAGCTACTACATTTCAAATTGTTTTCTTTATTAAAACAATTGTATCATATCAGACAATATGGTGAAAAAATGGCATGATGGTTAGACTGGAATATATCTAGAAGATCATGAATTTTAATACTTCATCTATACAGAATGTCACGGCTTGGGAGGGAATAGGAGGTGTGACCTTATTCAGATGGGAGTGGTCTTGTGAGAAGAGTATGTCACCAGGGGTTGGCTTTGAGGTTTAGCTGCCCAATCTAGGCCCAGTATGTCAACCTTTCTGCTGCCAGTAGATATGCGTGTAGAACTCTCATTTTCCCCCAAACCATGTGTACCTGTGGGCTGCCATGCACCCCACCATGAGTATAATAGACTAAACTTTTTTAAGAGTTGCCATGTTTCTGCTGCCTCTTCACAAAATAGAGCACTAAGACAAATGGCTACTACTCTACCTAAAGATAATCCAAGATAAATTGTTATTAGGCCCTGTACCTGTGTCAAGCCAAGCTCTCCAAGAATCAGTGAAGTTTTAAACCATTAATCAGCCTTGCAGAATGCCCAATGAAGATATGGAATCCTTCAGGGAACATCAGTTCACAGTTGCTTCATCCTGTACCCTTGGGCAGAAAATTTCAATGGCTGGAGTAAGTTACTGACAAACTTCTTCATGACATGATTTCCAGAAAGCAAAGAAATACAGGAAAGACAAGGGAAAGATGTAACTGCCAAAACACATTTCCAGTGATCCATTTCCTCAAACTAGGCCCCAGGATATAAAGAACCCATATCCCCACAAATAGCACCATCATCTGGGGAACCAGACATTAACCACAAGAGCCTGTGGGGACTTCTTGTGATCAAACTGTAAAAATGGGCAGACACTCCACACCTAGAATTCACATTTGTTAGCCATTTTATAACTCTGTCTTATCAAGTATCAACAGCTTGTCCAACATCTACCAATTTTTAACATTGTGTTTTTAATTCCTGCTTTTGAGCAGATGTCTGTGGGACCTACAGAGATGGTAAAGCATTGTGTGCAACCATGGAGAACTGATTTTGGATTGCCAGCACCAACATTAAAACTCAGATTGTAGAGACCTGTGCCTGTAAACCCAACTGAGGGGAACATGGAGACTAGAGGATCCCAGGGATTTGTTTACTTTACAGAGAGAGAGAATCATTGAACTCCAATGTGAGACACTGTCTTGAATGAATGAATAAATAAATGAAATAAATAGATGAGAGTCATTAAGGATGGCATTCATATCAACCTCTGGCCTCTCCACACACATATGCTACACATCATTTGGAGTCGATTCCCTAGGTAACATGAAATTACCTTAAAAACCATTTCAAAACAAAACAATGACAAAAACTGGGAGTTTGGAAAGGCTGAGAAGACAGGCATGCTAATCTTGTGAGATTAAATAACTCTGATGGAGCAGGAACCCATGGGTGAGGGAGATGGAGGAAGAGAGATGCTAGAACTACCAGAGACACTGGAGACAACCCTTGTGGGCTTGTGCAGCCCTCCTGGAGGGAGCAGGAGAGACAACGTGGGGGGGGTGGAGCCAGCGGGGTCACTGAGAGAGAGTTGGGCAGCCCTGAATCGCTCTAGCAGCCAATTCCCCTAGACTGGACTGCACTGCATCCACTCTCCAAGTCCCACACTATGATGCCACCCCCCCACCCCCCCACCCCTGCCAGACAGGACCACACCTCCTTGCTATCTGCTGCCTCTGCTTCTGCACTCACTCTCTCTCATTCACACACACACAGGCTGCTGCTGAGGCTGAGGCTGAGGCAGCAGAGGAGAGGGCAAAGGAACACCGTGGAACCCTCCCAAAACAAGCACCACTGACGCACAGCTTCCCCCAGAGAACCGACCGTCCCTGTCCCGTAGGCACCTGGCGTACACAGCACCACAAGCACAACCTCTGACTCCTTGACATCCTGGCTTGCTATGGCTTCCACATGGGCTGGGAACCGAGGAGGCTCGGGGAGCTGAGGTGGCCAAGGCTGTGATGGGGGGCAAAGGGGAGGCAGGAGCACAGCATTGGGAAGAGGCCAAGGGAAAGGCAGGGGCGAACATTCTTCAGGGCTAACACGGGAGAAAACGATGATGACCACCCGCCACCAAGGCACCCAACACACATCTGAACTGAGGGAGATGGAGGGACCATGTGCGTGGTCATTAAAGCTAACCCCCAGCCACAGAACCCAGAAGAGTGCACTGAGGGCGGGGACGATTGATCGTCAAGCTATGCTCAGACAGGCATAGACCCTGGAGGAACCCTGTGTCGCAAGTGCATTCCAAGTGTTGATGATCAATGTCCTCCAATTCACATTTATTCTCGCAGCTAGCTGCACTCTTCACCAATGCAGGAGCCCAGTGATCCACCTCTAAGAGTCAATGATTTGGATGTGGGAAGAGACAAACTTTACCCAATGGGAGCTGACAGCATCAGGGTCCCCACCACCATCCCCCACTGCAGACACTTCCAATGGACACAGGAGTGAAGGGAAGGACGGAGTAGAGGTTCACCTCAGGCCAGCTAGCTAGACATAGAAGAAAGACACAACACAGACTCTAGAGAGGGTCGGGACTGGGGGAAAAGATGCAGAACGACTCAGGGCCGGTGACTGGCAATGCACCAGGCAAGCAGTGCGCCCATGTCAAGACCCATTGGCACCCAAGGGGTGTTCCCGTCCCAGACCACAGCTAGACCTGGGAAAGGCCTTGTCCACTGAAGGAACTGGAGTCCCAGGGAGCCGCCACCAGACGCCCACCCCCCATGGGCCATCTCCCCCCATCGAACCTGGGGACCGAAGGGTATCTAGAAGCCCCGGATTCTTTAAACCTACTCACTGGAAAATAATAGCCAGGTACCAGAAACAACACCCAATACCACAAGACATGCACCAAACCACACTGGCTTCACCACCACCATGCCTCCTCCTCCCCCTCTGAGCACAACAGAACCAGGGACACACCTCCTGGCGAGAAGAAGGTATATGTAGGCTCAGTCGCAGAGCACCCCCAACCCTGCTCTCTCCTTAATGATCCTTCTGCAGGTTCACCTGCAGAAACCTTGTTGGGACTTTTACTTCCTCTAGATAGCCAAGTTCGACTTCTTCTCAGCACGCAACCAGGGCCATGGGCAGACCCCGCAGCGCCAATCTGAGGGCCTCACTAAACCACCCCATTGGTAGTAGTGACAGGCAGTGTGTACAAAGGGCAGGGACTTAAT